TATTTTAACCCAGTTGGGGTGTTTTGTGTTTTTATGCATATTACACCCACCATCATCATTTAAGAATGATTTATTATTATTGTTTATACTGCATAAATATGTATACATTTTAAATAATTTTAGGATGAATATTCTGGGTAACCATATCCACATCACACAAACAAACATATCATCGTTATTCGGCAGCTAAATCATCAAGTTTCATTGTGTCATTTTTCTATCGATCAAATTTAAAAGATGTAACTTCAAACTACATTTCAGTTCTAATTATGTGTATTAAATAATGATAGTTATTTGCTTTTCTAAGTCAACAACAAAAATATCTGTTAAGTAATGTATCTAAAAACAAATACTTTTGACGGTTGTTGCGGAGCAGTGCAATAAATCCTACCAAACTTAACATAAACTTGATGAAATGGCATTTTTTAAAAACGTTTTCAAACATTTTTTAAAAATTATTAATTTCAACCAGAATGTTAAGGAATTTAAATTTAAATGAATGAATCCATTCAAGAAACAGTTTTGTCCTGTTGACCGAAAGAGACGTCTTGGCCACACCCACACGTGTGTCACGTGCTTCGTGACGTTGACAACGTATAAAAAGCATTTCACGCAATCCACCATTTCTTCTTCAACCTTTCGAGTGTAAGGTGTCAACACCGTAAATATTGTTATGCAGTATTTTTTGGTTATGTTGTCAGATCTAAGTGAAAACCCAACTACACGTGAACCGCCTTGAGCAGGTAAACATTTATTTTCTGAAGGTTTTATACGAGGTTCGGTTTTGGGGCTGAAGAAAGTGGGTTAAGAGGAAGCCACGCCGCTAACCGTTAGCCTGTTGCTAGCCATTTTAACACGTGCAGTGATCGAGTTTTAGATATAATGTGTAAAATGCATACTGTTATTTTATATAATTACCGTTTACATGAATATACCAGTTCTAAGATGGTGAAATAGTAAATTATTGACTATTAATTGACTGGTTTATGCGATATTGGTACACGTGGTTTATTCTGTCTACTTGCATCTGCTCTGTTTCACTTGTTAATTTTCTGATGCTACATGTGATTAAACTGAATCTCTTTTCAGGCATCTTCGTGATGAGGTTGGTGATTTCGATCTTACAATCAGAGACCTTCACGTCACCATCTTGAGTCAAGGTAAATTTATTGGAACGTTATTACTGTTTTCCACTTCTGCAGTGTAAATGATGACTCTGTTATCCCTGTCTGAAAAAAAAGTGTGGACACCAATTGTATCTGATCTGCTGTAAGATGTCATTCTAACTTGAATGCTGTACTTGAACTTCCACTGAAGTTGAATCTCTTGTTGCAGATGTGTAGCCTGGCTAGCAACACACCACCCTGACTGTTGTATGGGAAGAAGCACAAAAAGGTTTGTTTTATTTCATCACTTTGATCCACACATTGAGATTCAATGATGAAAACTGCTGCATAGGAAGTGCCGTCTGATGCGATAACTGACGATGGCTATATGAGCTGCTCTGAGGCTGAACTCATAATAATGACCTGTTTGGTTCTAATGTCTGACGTAAACACTTAATAATCGGTACCGTATGTTAACCGTTTGACACAGGTGTGGTGAATAGAACACGACTCTGACCAAAAGTCTCTCTAGGGGCAAGATGTCAAACAGGTGAGTTCCAAAGTCACTCTGTTGACCTATTGAGCCACTGATGATAAAAGTTATCCCTGTCTGAACTTCAGTGTGGACACACGGTAACCTGAGGCTCGACTCTAGTCACAGAATAACAGCAGAATGTGTTTGAGGTTGATGTTAAAATTAACATTAACATTCGCTTTAATTTAATTTTTAGGTTCAAGTTTGGGACGGAGATGCAGCACCACCATGTGGCTGAAATCATCATGACAAAAATGATCTGCAATGGTTTCTTGCCCACTTTTTTTTTTTTTTTTTTTTTTTTTATAAACTGGTCAGTTAGTCAACAGTGGTGTTAAAATGGTTTATTATAAAGATGTTGAACATAATTCAAGCACAATGGCACATTCAAGTATTTGACAGAACAGGAGTGGGTGTTCAGTGGAACTGTCCTGCACGTAGAGGTTGATCTGTGTGTGAAGATGACCTGTAGGATTTCTTCTTTAAACTCTCCAGAAAAATCTGCTCCTCTTGGAGGTATTGGCGCTCCTGTGAGAAGAAATGAACATTTAATTTCTTTTTTTTTTTTTTTTTTTTTTTTTTTTTTTAAATGTGCAAGACATTTCTTTGGCCTGTGTTGTAGCCATAGGTTTAAATGCACATATGGTTGGTGTCTTTGTAACCAACTTTACTACAAGTGTTGTTTTGACAAATAAAGAAGAACTTGCCCCAACATGCAAATATTTCTTTCCTGTCTTACATTTTCTTCTATTATAGAAGACAAAAATGGACAAAAGAGCGCAACATTGCTAATATCTTTGTCATTTAACTACTGAAAATCATTGACGAGGTAAATGATGTCGACTGTCACCAGTTCTGTTTTTTTTTTTTTTTTCTGGAATTAAAAAAAAAATCTATGCAAACTGTTTTTGGACAGGTATTCTATCCACTAAACCCTGTTGCATTGCTGTCCAAATCTCACAGTCTCATGAAATGTTCATTTATACTAATCAAAACATTTTATACAGAAAAGACCTGAAAAAACTTCCTCAGATCAGCGTTTGGTGGTAACACTGTTCAACACACTGAAAGTTTGTACCTTTTCTGCTGTGTATTTCCATAAAGCCAGGCTGGCCTGCAGCGTCATTGACTGAGTGTTGGTGAGTGAAGTAGGAGGTTGAATGTTCAGGGTTGATGTTAATTCAGGGTTTGTTGGCACTGGATCTACAGATGAAGAGATGATGAGTGGTTGCCCTTCAATCTAAATCATCTTTTAACGACCACGACCTTTTTGTGTGGAGATGGTCACCTGGTAATACAGGGTGGATGATGTGTGGTGTGGAGGTGATGTCCTGTCTCAGCCTCCCTGCCTCCTGCAGATGGTTTAACTGCCTTCGCTCCTGTATGAAACAGCACAGAGTTAATAGTGTGCTGTTGAAGCTGGTTTATTTGACCTTATGTGATAGGCACCTGAAGGATTCGCTTCTCTTGCTGCCTTAGTTGGTCAGTTTGGAGGTGGATGTTTCTGAGCCTTGACTCGTGTTCTGCCTCCACGTGTTTGGCCTTCTTCAGTGCTCGTTCTCCTTCCTCGTACTTCTCTGCCGCGAGCTGCAAAGAAGTCCACATATGGTCAGAGTAGAAATATTACCAACAGCCTTTTTCATTATTTGTTTGGGGTTTTACGATGTGATGTAATCTTACATTACTGAACGCCTCCACCTCCTGGGCCCGTGTCTGCAGCCTCAGGGCCGTACTGCTTATTCTTTCTTTCTCTCTGTCCAGTTCTTCTCGTAGCCTCTCCAAAGTTTCCCGCTCCTGCACCAGGGTCATCTCCTTCTGCTTTAAGTCTGCTGTTCTGAGCTTCAGGTCAGCTTGTTCCTAAAACACAAATGCAAGGTTGACATAACCTTGATCTCATCGTGTACAGTTTTCTACAAGTGTAAAGTAGTTTGAATCACCTGTGCCAGACTGATGATGGAGCCTTCTCTCTTCTCTAAGAGACTGCCAACCTCTCGCTCAGACCTCTGGTGCCTCTGCTTCTCCTGGGTGCGGAAGTCGGCCCACTCTGCCGCCAGCTTCCTCCTCTCATCAGCGCAATGCTGCATCACAGACTTCTGTTCCTCCAGTAAAGCGCTCTGACATAGAAGTGGAGAAATTATTATTTTTCCAATACCCTGAAAATATCTCTTGAACGATTATGAATACATTTAGAAAAAAACCCATAATAAAATACCAGTATGGGTAAAAGTTGACTGTGAACAATCAGGTTTAATGGCCAGACATGTCACCCCGTCATGCAGATTTGTCAAACGACAGAATCCTGCCCCCTCTGATAGAAACAGACACTGTATGATACACATACAGTATGTGTATCATACAGTATCTGAGACCCAAACGTCTTGGACTTGATACGATGCACTGATGTGAATGTTTGTCAGCCTCACCTTTGCTCTCTCCAGTTCCTCCCTCTCCATGTTGATCTGCATGCTGAGGGATCGTCGCTCTTCCTCCAGGCCTCTCTGCGTGGACTCTGCCTTGGCCTGCTCGGCCGTTATCTTCCATCGCTCCTGAGGCATAAATATAAAGAAAAAACATCAAGCTAATTCTCTTCTACCCATGAAGATGTAGTTTTTTCTTCTTTTTTTTGTTCAGTCTTTGTTTGCCCTGACCTTCTCAAGCTGTCTCTGCTGCTCATTGAGCTGAGCGTCCATCCTGGAAATTATTTCCTTGAGGTACGTTCTCTCCTCTGCCATGGTTTTCTGCTGCTGAGCCAGTCGCTCTTGCATTACTGTAAAAAGTACAAAGAGAAATGACCCACTTGAAACTCAACGCAATTGCGCCTTCAGACATTTTGGGTCTTGACCCATTTGTAAAAAAATGAGTGTGTGTGTGTCATGTACTTCTGAGCTGCTCATCCCTGTGCCGTGCCCCCTGCTCCAGGCCGTGGGCGGTGTTTTCATGTGTGCTCTCCACCCGAGAAGAAAGCTCTCCCAGCCGAGAGGAGAACTGTTCCATCTGCTCAATCACAACTGTGAGAGATCTGGACAAACACAATGTGACTGAAGTTGAGATCTTGGCAAACTTTTCTTCAACATGTTACTGTTTTTCATAGTGTGAATAGATCTTGGCAAACATGTTACTGTTTTTCATAGTGTGAACTCACCTGGTCTGAGATGTTGCACTTGTCACTGCATCAATCTCCTCTGCTTTCAACTTCTTCAGTCTGTTGATCTGGTCTTCGTGGTCTTTCTTCATTTCTGCGATTGATTTCCTTGAAAACAAATGTTTTCAAACAGTCAGTACATTTGTGAGTGCTGAAACAACCAACCAACATTTCTTTTTTTCTAAAGTTCTCATTAATAGGACGATACATTTCCTGTGCGTTTGCTGAACAATGAAAGTGAACTGTTTTTACCTCTGAAAGTCTCTGAGTCTCTCCACCTCGCGGTCTCTCTCCTGCTGGGCCTGGGCCAGTTTGCGCTGGTACTGAGCCTGCAGCTCTGAACGTTCCTGCTCAGCGGATCGTGTAACTGTGGCCAGACGTTCCATTAGGTCTTCGTTTTCCTGCCGGCATCGAGTCTCCCTCTGGACAGCCGATTCCTCCAGAAGCTTAATGCGAGCCCTGGGTTCAAAAATCCAAATCAGATGCTGGTACTGCTGAGAATTAGTCATAAAGAAAAATAAGATCTGGGGCAAATTACTTGTGTGTGTTTTCTATCAGTTCAATCTCCTGCTTGTGCTGCTGCTGGACACTCAGCAGCATCATCTGGCTCTGGTCTCGCTCCAGCTGCAACGTCTTCACCTGAACAATTAAATGCACGAAAGTGTCAAGGTCTGTCTCAGGTGCAAGACATACCATAATAATCCTTTCTCCGGTTCACATACCTGTCCCTCCAACTGGATGATGCGAACCTGCAACCCTTGATAATCTCCAGGAGGAATATCTTTGTATTTTAAACTCTGCAAAACTCCTGAATTGACGACACCCCCGAGGCCAAGCAGCTGAGACTGTATCATCTGTGGGGGGGAGGATTATTAGTGGATTGATCTTTGGTGTAATTAAAGTTTGTTTTATGTCCAGAGAAACTCAGTGACTTCTTACCTGCTGTTGCAGAAGCACCTGCTGCAGGTTATCTGCGGAAAATGTCCCCTGCTGAGAAAACCAACCCTGTTTTATTAAAATCCATTAAATTCAGTCGACACGTAGACGGAACGATAACGATACCTGTTGTTGGACAGCGGCTGCTGAGTTGTGCATTTGTTGGTTTTGTTGTGGAAATGCTGGAAGAAGGAAAAAAAAACAAAGATACATTTTGTTAACCACCAAAAGAATCATTTTCTTTATCAAACACGACTTTCCTGACACAGTTTAATAAATCATTTTCTAACATTGCCTACACTCAAATGTGCCAGACAGTGGGGCAGACATGAGGCTGAGTGGCTTCAGCTGTGTCCGGGTGTCATCCAAAGCCTCGTTGGGCAATGGAAGTCCAGTGTTTGCAGTGTTACTGCAAAACAAAAAGGAAAGAATCAGTTGAGGGTAAAAAAAAAGTACAATATACTTCTTCTTTTCCTAACTTCAAAATCTCTTTGTGCAATAAAAAAAGCAGAAAAGAAAAATAATTAAGTAATAATAATATATTGGACAAGGCAGGAGTAGGACATGCAATACAAATACACCACCTTGTTTCTTTGACAGCAGCCGGAGCAGCTTCTTGGACCCTGGGAGCCTGGGAAGAGCCTTGTTTACTGAAAACCAAAGTAATTAATCAACTTCGAGAGACTAAGATACAATTTGATTTACTGTATGTGTATGTAGCTTCTCGTTTACCTAATAAATGGCTCCTGCTCTGGTTCTCCTCCCAGACCTGAAGAATCTTCCGGCTTCAACTTTTTTGCCTCATTACTTGAGGATGCCAAAGCTTTTTTCCTGCCCAGTGCTCCTGCTAACCAGTCCTCCTCCTCTTCTTCTCCTTCCTCCTCCTCCTCTTTCTTCTGAATGACAGGAGCTTCCCTTTTGCTTTGGTTTGCAGGGGCTGAAGGTGTAGCTTGGCCACCAGTCAGAGAGGACTTTCTCTCCATTAGTGGAGATGAAGATGTCCTGGGAGACTCGGATGAAGTCTTGATTTCTTTGTTTCCATTCCCTATAAGTACATTTTCATCATCTGTTTTGAGGCCTAACCAGTCGGCTGAGGTGCGTTGTCGGGGTGGAGCCGTGGTAGTAGTTTTGGGGTCTTTTTCCTGAGTGGAAGGACTGATATCCTCTGTAGAGAATCTTAATAACGTAAAAAAAATTTAATGAAAATTTTAATTCATATTGTGGAATTCCAAGCAGACTACAGATGGACTACACACACACACACCTGACAGACTGTCTGCGGGACTGACGTCCTTCAGGCGTGGAGCCCAACGTGGGCTGATAGGACCCAAAAGTAAGATCATCATCCAAAGGTGGTTCTGACGAATGGGAGGGGAATTATTATTTATTTGTTCCACTTAAAAAAGGTTTCACTCAGATGCAGTGCATCAGCTTTACCTTTAAAGCTGCTGCTCTTTTCCTGCTGCTGCTGCTTCTCTTGAGACTGCACCGTGTCCTTCCTTTCACCTGTGGGTGGTCTCTCCAGGAGACGGGGTGAAGTCCTACTCTCCAGAATGTCATCCAGTCTGGTGCGAGCCCTCTGAGGTGGCTCCTTTCTGAGATCAGCAGCAAATAAAAAAACACAGGAAGAAACAGAGTTTTATTTTTTAGACAAAGCCCCAGCAACTTGTAAAGTTTAATTGAACTCACAGGTTACCTTTCCTTGTTTGGCCAAAGAAGAGAGTCTTTCTTCTTGGAATCATTTTTATCACTGCCAAATCCAAGAGCTTCCATCAAGTCGTCCTGATCGTCATCGAAGAGATCACTTGCTGCTGCTTTTGTTTTTTTAGCTGATTAGAAAACAGTTAAGACAAATTCAGGGTGTGATTGTTGCACTGAATGACCAAGAGCAAAGAGGAAGAGGAATTTTACATTCTATAATAAATACCCTTCAAGACTGGGGATGCAGAAGGAGGCGACACTGTCTCAGGTTTAGATTTTGGCTGCTGCACGCTGGATTTAGATTTTAGCCTGGTTTCATCTGGGAGTAGGTCGTCAAGGTCAGCGAGGGGGTCATCAAGATCTGGGCAGGAAATCAAATTTGTTATCTGTGTGCTTAAAAAATATTTTATTCGTACAAGTACAGTAAAATAAATAATTTTAAATTACTATAAGGCGGTAGGTACAACATTTAGGTGAAGATAAAAATATGACTTTATTAATCAATCTCCTAATTAATAAATAATACAACTCTAAATATTAATTTTATGCTTAGAAAACATGTTCACTCACCAGAGAAGCTGAACCTTCTGTGGCTGCGTGTTGAGACTGAAGGTGCCGAGTGCGGTTTCCTTCCCGCGTTTGTGCCTTGTTCTCCTGAACGAAGTGAGAAAATCAGCGGCTCGGTCTGATTAACAACAATGGGAGGAGAAAGCACAGACTTACCTGCTCCCTCATGTTTTGCATTGTTGTCTGACGTTGTAATTTCTGTAGCTTTTGGAATGTTTTTACCAAATGGCTTCGTCTGTGCAGGGGCTGAATTGGGCTTTTTCTTTAGTGTAAAAAGGTCAGCATCCATATCGTCTATATCCTGTTGAAGAGCGAGAGTAGGGCAAAAAAAACAAACAGGTGGAACACCTGTGAGGATCACAGATTAACAGAAGTGAACAGTGTGTCAAGTCTCCTACCTTCATGTCCTTCAGTATGTCATTAGGATCTGCTGCTGAGACATCCGAGTTCTTGGAGATGAAAGGAAAAAATGGGCACTTGGGTGAGTGGCTTTTGAAAGTTACAAACGTCTCAAGTTAACAGTGGTAATTTTCTTGTAGGAATGTTAAAAGTATGACGTTTTAGCAGAAGATAATGTATGTTTTTGAACTGCTGATGTGCTGTTCTGTTAAGCATATACCTCAGTGTTGCCGTCATCCGTCTTTGCCTCTTCTGCCAGCAAGCTGTAAATGTTATCAGTGGCAGACGAGCTGGAGGAGAAACCCTTGTGTAAGTTGTAGATAGTAAGGACAAATTTACTGTAAAACATCAGTAATAAATGACTAAAACTACCAACTCACCGATTCAGTGGCCCACTGCGAGCTGCTCTCCCTGTGGAAGGCTTCTCTGTAAAGAGAAAATGAATGATAACGTAGATACGCTGATAACGTCACACTGACAATGTGGATAGTACACAACTATGTCCACTTACTTTTATCCTCAAACAGGCTGTCTAGTATATCATCGTCTCCAAATGAGCCTAAATAAAAATGGTGAAAAGGAATGATTTCAACAATACTAATCAAACAGTATTATTCATATGAATTAATTTATTTAAATTTAGTTATAACACAAGGGATAGGGGAAATTAAGACATTAACAGTAAGTCAGTCTTATTCGACATAAAATATATTTAAATGTATCAGCTGGAGGAACACACGTTTTGAGAGTTTGCCTCTGGTCCTGGTCGCCTGCAAAATCACAGCAAAATGTGTAGTCATTTACAAATTACACACGCAATTTTCCTTGCTTTTATTTTTTAAAATGTATTGTCATTAACGGAATAATAAAAGTTGAAAATTAATAGTAGGACTTACCATAGTGAGTCTCTTCTGGTAGTTGTGCAAGATGTAAGCAGCTACCTGGTTAGCTAATCCTTCGATGTAAGCAGCTACCTGGTTAGCTAATGCAGGCCAAATCTGATTAAGCGTCTCTTGTCTCCATGGGTAACCACGCCACTCAACCGGTTAGTAGAGTAAGTAGAGTTCATAGTAACTACGCGATTTACAACTACTATACAAAATAAATGTATCTATAATTGTTGTCGTTTCAAGTCTTCGTGTGGTTCGTTAAATACTTCTGGTAATTAAAAAAAGACTAGCTAAGTCAAGGTAAAGAAACATAGTAGCTCAATAAGAAAATATTAAACGCTAGCTATACATTACTCACAACGTTTCGTACAATACACATCGTACTCAAGTTAATAAAATTTGCTTCAATATTGTTAAAAAGGAAAACTCCCCTCTGAATCCTGTCTTTGCCACAGTGATATCGTGAACACCAACCTCACCAGCGGTTTGAATGTATGTTTCCTGTTTACTATTCGAGGTGCATTATGGGTAGCGTAGTTTGTATGAAAGGGAACAGTTCCTCCAGTTATTAGAACGGTTCTAACAACAACACAGTAAATCCACAGTCTTTCCTTTATCCTGTAGCCCAAGGGTCTTCAACCCCCGGATAGGGGACCTGTAGCAGGACATGGATCGTTTGGTACCGGGACACACAGAAAGAATAGAAAAACTTTTATTTCGAATCGTTTTGTTTAGTGTACTTTAGTCTGAATGGTTCGAGAAACCATTCTGTTTAGGGGAAAAAAAACCTTTGTTTCCTCCCCCATTTACGCACCCGTACATCTGGTCCATGGAAAATCTGTCTTGCCTGGTGTTTAGAAAAGGGTCAGTTAATTTACACAAACCGCCTGCAGCTCTGAGATTCTGACGTTGTGAATCCAGGTTACCACTGGGTGGTAGCAGAGCTCAGACGTGTAGTCAAACCAAGGAAAAACTATTACCAAACCAAAAGAGCTGAATAATTTATGCTCTGTGGTCCATGATTTATTCATTGTGGTCTGGTCCTGAGGCGGCACTTTTAATTATCACAATGTTAACCAGTTAGGTCACCCTCCAGTAAGCTGGGTCATAAAAATGGGATTAAACCACAGTTCCTGATAAGGGTTTCTCCTCCCTGCATGTGCCTCTGACAGCTCCCAGGATTAAGTAAAAACATCACATGATTTTTCTCTTTCGTTCCAATTCATTTATTGTGTAAGGACAAATCATTGGACTGGTGCGTGTTGGAATCTCCTCTTTCAAAACATTTGGCTTGTACGTACAAGTACAGCGTGCAAGCGGCATTTCATGATTTCATTTTTGGAGTCAAATCAAAAGCAAAGCAGTCATTGTTTGCATTAGAAGAAGTATATAAATCATGTTTAGGCCTTAATTAAAATATACTTTTTAATTACTGGAAAGTCAGCTGATCATTAGCAGTCAATTTGAGAACTAAAAATATGTATGTATATGTATACATATATGAACTATAAAATATTCTGAGAAATGTTGAGTGAAGCTTTAATTAGGAACAGGCATAGAGACATGGAAGTGTATCTGCAAATCAATCTTAGGACAATACACCATTGAATTTATTGCCTCAATATGGCATCCCTAAAGTACAGCTGAGTATCTGAGCCAGCATCTTCAAAGGAAGCCAAGGGGGGAAGGAGACGAAATAACATCCACACTGTTTGCCTAAGAGAGAAGAAGAAAAGTTTGCAGGCACCAGCTCATTTGAAAAGACAGTGAAACTATCTTATCTGTATGTGTTATATATATATATATGAAAAGGATATATTTCCACAGGAACTCTTGATTTACATGGCAACAATTCCAGGTCTCCTTACGTTCAAATAATAATATTTATTTTTTTTTAAAAAATGAAGTGACATAGCCAATAAAGGACCTTAAAGTCATTTTATTCATACTTTTTTCTGATAAATAAAAATGCAAGCTCATTACAATGTTACCAACGTTAGCATTTATTGCATTTTAAAAGTGTGGAAACTTTTAGTCCATTCAATCATATCATATCTAAACCTAATATCAAAATAATTTGATCTTTAGAAGCTTCAGCAACAACATGCAGTGGCAATCAACAAACAAAAGCTGTAACATTTACAACAAAAAGCTGTAACATTTACACTGAGGCACAGAACATATTTGTAAACCACTTTCTTCACTATCTTCTATATACTGTATGCCATATCAGTCTAAAACTGTGGTTAGTAAAAAAAATATATGATATTTTCAGTGTAGTTTTCTCTTCGTTTGTTTCCAGTAGAAAACTGCTGCAGCTGTTTGTCTACCTCCCCCCCAGCCCCCAACCACCACCTCCCCAACCCGTTGAAGAGTCTGGGCGTGTGCGTGTGTTGTTACACACAGAAAACAAAAAGAATTCCAACTAAGAAATCAGTCATGTCTCTGAGTGGGGAGGATCCTCTTTGCAGCACTGTAACAAAGACAGAACAAAAGCAAATGTTTTCTATTCATTATAGATTTAATTAAGGTAAAAATGAATGAGAAAACTCACGTGAGTTAGGATGATGACTCACTCGCTTCCAAATCATATGGAACACAGCAGCGGCCAAAAAAGGCTGACATGAAAAAAAGAGACTGACGTAGTTATTGAAAAATCTCACTCAAAATCGTCATCGTCAATCGTCACTATGATGATCAGTCGACCAGGACCCACATATACACAACGATACATTGCCTGTTTTATTGCTTTACATTAAGATCCTTCACAGATGCATTAAAATCTGTAGATGCACAAGTGCAATGTATTTATAATACCCCCCACCACCACCACCACCACCACCACCACCTCCCTTCCCCATCAAAGAGCTGACGGACTCTTGTTCTGCCTCTGAATCATTTAGCATCAACAGTGTGGCAGGGAGTGCTTAGAAGCTAAATGTGGGGCAAGCATGTTAGCATTTTCACGCATGTGTGCCTGCGTGACATGCTCCACTGATCCTCTCCTTGTCTGGAGCCCCATAAGTAACACATGTCCCCGACACACACACACACCCCACCACCTCCCACACACACACAGGTTTATGTATTTTGTGAGCTTGTACATTCCAAGCCCCATCCAAACTCTGACCCTAACTTCCCAACATAATCTATATAAATACCCACTCATTCAATCTCCCCACCACAACAGTAATAAAAACAATATCAAATAACAATGAAAATGTCCCTTTAGTTTCAGTATTAAAAGGGCGTCAAACTAAATCCACCTGTGGATTTAGTTTGATTCCAGCAATTGGACCAATGTTAAAACCAACTTCCAAACTCTGGTTCAGTTGACTTTTGGGACTAATAGGTCACATGTTAATATAAATGGTAAGAAATGCCTGTGCAATTGCTAGTCATCAGTGTGAACAGGTGATGGGATTCACTTAGAATTTTCTTGTTTGTTTAGTTTTCAGGAGACTATAGTATTTCAAAATTTCTTTCTGGATATTATCATTTTTTTTGTTGCCTATTACTGCCCCCTGTGGGCGAGCCACAATGAAAAATATTTTCACAGTTTTACCTTGTGATTCTCACTGATGTCATTTGGGGGTTTCTGACACTGCGTTGTTCTTCGTGACTGGCTCGTCCTCCTCTTCAGACTCTTTTTGTCTGTGACAGATGATACGCAGCAGTCGTGTGAAATAAAGTCTTTTTTCTGGTCCTACTCCATGGTGCTGCAGCTATGTGGCGCTCTCTCTGTAAATGCTCAGATTGCATTCTGAGTTAATTCGTGTACATGGACTCAGTTGCCCTGGTGTTTACCCCCTCCGTTTTAAACAAGCTCAAGTAAAGATCAAACTATTTACAGATTTTATATCTTTCTCCCACACATGGAAAAAGTAGGTGTGCCAATGTTTGGATACAGATGCAAGAATTTTAAGTTATTTATTCAAGGAAAGTTTATCCAGGGTAGAATTTCAACACAAATAAGAAGCATGACAAAGGTCAACTCACGGTTGGACCTTGGTGGAGAACATCTGCCGCAGGATGAGAGCGATGCTGGTCAGGACCATCATCGTGGTGCACATGGTCCTAAATGAGTGATTTCCTGTTCTGGGACTGCTACTGTCTCAGTGCACACACTGAGACTCCTCTCATTGATGAAAGACTCGTGGTGTGACAATCTGAGTATTCCTGTTTTTCCCCTTGGCTCCCGCACTGATTGAAAAGATTATCTTGAGGGATTAGTTTGGATTAGGGAAACGGGGGTGGAGGAGCTAGCAAGCACAACTTGGAGGTAAACAAAGCCTGCTGTGTGCTTCTATTCTAAAAGCACACCCCCTGCCAATTCTCCCCCGACCACTTTGACACCAGCACAGAATTCCAAACCCACCTGGGTCTTACGTCTTATGCTTTTGGTGGACTGTCGTTGTTTGTTTGTTTTTTTGGCAGTATTTATGTATTTCACATCCTCCTTAAAACATCTAAATAATTCAAATTTTCTGTCCTTCACCATATTTTGGGAAATGCTGGCCACCTGTTATAGTACGCACTACAACACGCTCAGTGTAGAGCATTTGACTGCAGATCAAGAGGTCTCCGGTTCAAATCCGGATGCCCCCTGATTTTGTGTGACTTTTCAGTCGGGTCCATAGTGTAGCGGTTAAAATACCGGAGGAACCACATGTTTGGTGCTTGCTATGGGCAGGCTGTTAACAGCGTATCTGCTGCTAACGCCACAGTTTCCCACATATGGGATCAATGTAGTACAGATTTATTTATTCTGGTTATAATGAGGTAATAGCATTTGAGAGGTTGCTTCTAAATATATTGAACCCTCTTGTAACATCACTGTAGGCTAAGTGCACATACATTAAGAAATAATTGAAGCATATTGAAATAACAGGGGGTTCAAACTGGGACTTTAAACAGCCGGGTTCATACTTGAACCCAATAAGGATTTTAGAAGACATTTAGGAAGAGTTTAAACAGCCTCTCTCCTTTGTTTTATTTAAAATATATTGCTGGTTACAGATACAAAGGTCGGTCCAAATGGAGACAAATATAATCCAAATCAGATCAAAATAAAAGATGTCAAGGTGCTACTAAATTTTAAAAGGTGGACACAGGTGGATACATTCTCAAAAATAACATCCAGAACAACAGCACAATTCATGGAGCGAACACCATTGACCAGTAAACAGCAGTTTCTATACGTAGTATCTAGTAGAAGGCACATTAGAGTCAAATGTGACCTCTAGTCTGGCTATCTTTTCTTTTGCTTTCATTTCAAAGAGTTTGGTACTCTGCAATTTCACATATTTAAAGTATATACTTTATATTTGGAATCCATTTTTTCTTGGTTACATGATGATGTAAAACCTCACTACATGATGCCCATTTCTTGAGTCCTCATGAGCGGATGAGATTCTTCACCCAGTTGAAGCAGGTGGCTTGGTCCAGCCCACTTCCTCATAGGTGACGTTCATTTCATAGCAGAGTGTAGCCAGGAGTTTGGTCCACGCTGCAGCCACATCTGGCGTCACCACCTCTGGGAAGACTTCACCCAAGACCTCCAGTATGACACCACTCAGGATCTTGGTAATTACACAAACAGCATGAGGTGTCAGTTCCTTCATCACTTACACCAGGGGTGTCAAACTCTTTTGCCCAACCCCCGGTCCGCGGACCAGTAACAGTCCATAGGTCATTTGGTACCGGGCCGCAGTGGGACACAGAGGAAAAATGTTCTTAATTTTTATGTTCTTTAATTTACTTCATTCAAAGGAAATCCAGTCAATTCCATTTACTTTCCTTGTTTAAAGATAATCTGGCAATGTTTTAAAATAAAAGTCATTCAGACTCTGATACAAACAGAATAGATAGATATTTTATAGTCTAGTAGATATTTTATTTTGAAAATTTAATGATCCTTCAATGCTCAGCAATTTGGTACTGCTCTGTAGTAACAAGTGGTACTGGCTGACCAGTCCTTGGGACCAAGAAGGTCAGAAACTGCTGTTATAAATGTAACGACTCCATCACAGACTAATATGTGTTTCTGCAACTGATTATTATTTGTTCAAGCTACAAATACTGTTCGTTGCTGTGTAATAAAAAACCTTTAATTTCTCAGGTTAAGAAACTCTGCTGCGTGGACTTTATTAAATGTTTTTTAAGCCGGGCCACACAAAACGGTCTGACGGGTCGCATTTGGCCCCCAGGCCTTGAGTTTGACACGATAACTTACACTAAGGTAATTGAGGGCAAAAAATAAAAAGCCCCTGAGGGAGTACGTGTCGGTGTAAGTTCTCAGTCATCCAGATCATGTTATCCAAACATCAAGGGTAACAGGGCCGGTATCTTTTTAGATCATTTCACCTCTAATCCAATAGGCTTGTTCAGGTATAGTTTCTGACTTTTAGCATCAGAGAGTGTGTCTTCCCTTTACTATAGGGTGTGTACAACACCCTTTGTTCGCTCCAAAACCATGGAGAAAGCCAAAGAATATGCTGTTAAATGTTGTGCAGCCCTTAGCAAAACACAAACTCACCAGGATTTGCCAGATATTTGTAGAAAGTCTGGTATTACATTTAATATGATGTGATACGATGCTACGCTATGTGATCCAATGCGATACGATACAGTAAAGCAAGGTAAAGTAAAGTCAAGTCAGGTCAGGTCAGGTCAGGTCAGTAAGGTTTACTGTAAGGTGTAACGTAGAGTAAGATAAGATAAGATATCACACACTGGGAATTTAATGTGGAAGCATTCACCCTAAAATAACCATCATTAATATTTTTGAAATCTTCTGACATAGAGAAATTTTAACCAACCCTGAATTATTTCATTTGCCGGGCTTTGAACCCTGAAACTAAACCGTGATTACAATGCTAAGCCAAAGCGATGTCACACACACACACACACACACCTTAAAGTACACAGGATCCACTTTGTGCCGAAGAGCGTGGGCCTTGCCCAACTGCTTCAACAGGGAAGCCACCTTGTCTGAGTTGTGGAGGTTCTGCACCAGCGTGTTGAGGGAGTTCATGACTCTGCCAGCATGAGTCCTCAGCTGGGCACACTTCTGCAGCTCCTCCGGCTCCTCCATGTGTTTGAACTGGCTGAAATACTGCTTGGATGAGGGGAAGTTCACAAACAGTCTGTGAAGGAGGAGAGTTGCCGTCAAAAGAGAAATGTAAGTGTGAGCAGCTGCTGCTGGGTTCTGATAACCCCTTGGAACTTCAGCTCGAACCAGTCCTTCCTGTTACATTTTCTTCAGCTGGCAAGAAACCATGAGTAAACATTAGCAAGGACATGAATGTTTAGTTTTTCCTTTAAATGTCAGACGTTTGCTTTGAACTGTTATCTGGGATCTGTTTTGTGTTTTCGGTGTGTTTGGCAAAAAGAATTTGTGAGGGAAAGAAATTTCAGTAAAGGCAAACAGGCAGAACTTTAGAAAATAGTTGTGTTTGACAACAAATGTTAAACATGATGAATATTTTTCTTCTTCTGTTGAGTGATTAGATGGATGTGGAATGTGATCTGCACTGTGGCTCTGTGGCGCAATGGATAGCGCATTATGTTAAACTGTACAGTTGATATGTTTTATGACCCGATTGCTTACTCTGTTAAATGCCAGTTCTTATGTTAAACTGTACAGTATATGTTTTATGACCCGATTGCTTACTCTGTTAAATGCCAGTTTTAATCCCTCGCTCTGTTGTGGTGTTGAAGAAGCACAAAAAATGATGTGGTGCTGTAAGGGGAGGGACATTTTTTTTATATAATATCAACCTGTATACTACCTAGGAGTCCATTGTCATATCCCTTCATGGGGCCCAGAATTCCTGGCAGCACCCCTGCTCCTGAATCTTGATGGAACCCAGAAACAACTTGAGTTGTTTGGGATATTTTTTGTATCAGTGTTGAGTCTTTTAAACAAACGTTTATGCTCCTGTTTGTGTTTTTGGTGGCAAACATTTTGGTTTAACGTGGACACTGTGATCAACAACAAAAAAAAAAAAACATGTATAAGTCATTTGAATTTTTTATCACATTTAAGACACAAAATAAAGTAAATAAATACATGAACGTGTATGTTGTGTGAATTGTTTCAGTAGCTTAGCTAGTTGAGCTTAATGTAGAGAATTAATTACATCAAAATCAATGCTCCACCCCATAACAATAGAACTGGGACATTTACTTCTAATAGTCAGACGATGACTTATTATAATAGGACACCAACATCAATTCTTTAGAAGGCGTTGCCATTATATATAACCTATAATATTTTTCTTGTGTACAGTATTGTTCCTCACAAATCATTCATGAGTGGTCTGAATACCAGAGTGACATGGCTTCATTTCATTTCTCTTCATTTACCTTTTGAACCCAAAACCTTTGACCAGCAAATGTGTTAAATCAACTAAAAAGTCAATCCAATTGCTTCTGGTCATCGTCATCTTTCCTTCTCCCCTCTCCCTGTAGGTCTAGGTGTAAAGTGGTTATCATTAAAGTAAAGGGCTGCATATTTTTGTGTGAGTTTTTCCACCGTTATGGCCTCAATTATCACTGGTAGATGTTTTACTTTACTTACTTTTTTTTGGATTTGAAAGAAAAAGAAAACCCAACCAATCAGCACGTCCAAATAAATTGCATCCCTTTATAACATGTGTTTCTATCTGAACACACTAACATCATTTTTGTTTTTTTTTCATTTAGATTCAGAATAAAAAGCCAGTGAAAGGCGTAAAGGAAGGTTTGTGTCAACTCTGAGTGAAGGGTCTCTGGAAGTGTGACACACTGATAAGGAATCATGCAGCCTAATCTTTCTCTCTTGTAACTGCATGACCTGGGGTTGCATATAAATAGCCTCATTAGTATTTTATATGGTCACCGGATTACTAATCCTTCCCCCATCTATTCTCCAGGTGAACCCTGAAAGCTAAAACTACACCTTTTAAAAACAAAATTGACAGTGAGTTAAAAAAAACTGCTGTTTTGTGCTGCTGCGTGGTCGTGCATAATGATCATTGTGCTGTAAATTCCTCTTTGTGAAGGACTCCAGGACAGGTACTGTAGCTCTAGGTAGTAAAAGATCGCTCCACTAACATGTTTAAAATGTATCTCTGAAAAAAAAAAAAAAACTGGTTTGTGGTGAACGCTTTAAGTTTTAATCTCCTGTAAGTTTCTATAAAACCACTGGCTCTAGTGCAGTGAAAGACCATTAACAACTTAAATTCTCCAAATCTTTCCAGATTACTGCACTCCCGCTGACAGACTCTGTTTTAGTTATAGGTTCATGATAACTAGTTATTTTAGTCAAATAAATAAAATATTAAATTTCACAGACACGATTGTGTTTGAAAAACAATATTAGGTGATAGGTCATAAAAACACAGGATGGTATAAATGTCTACATATTACATGCATTATAACATTGCTTATAAAAAGCATGTGTCCATAATGTGTCAAACTGTGATAACTCCATCTGACCTCTGACTTTTGTCTCTTCAAAATAACGCCTCAGCAAAGTTTTGGGTTGTCAGTTAAAAAAAAGCATTGTCAGCACATGGTACAGCACCTCCAACACTGGTACGACTTATGGACAGAAATAAATTTCACAGTTTGAGGAACTTTGATGAAAGGTTCTGCGTACGGGAACGAGGCATGTGATTTTAACAGCTCTTAAATGAATGAAAATACACATATATATACATATATACAGTGTATATATATATATATATATATATATATATATATCAACATCACAACTGCAAAAGTTGCAACACACATTGCTTTTTATAAAATGAAAAAACAAAAACAAACAAACAACAACAACAACCAAAATCCCAAACAACCAAACCAACCGAGTTGGAACGGACAAATACCTGACAAGTATGGCCACACCAGCCTCATCACGGTGCTCAAAGACTTTTGACCAGGAATCCTGGATCATCACCGTCTCCTTGTCGGTCAGCGGGGTGGGTTGCTCCAGGTGAGCCACCTCTTCCTGCATCTTTTCCATCTGGGAACACATTTGTGCAGCTTACTTGAACAAGGCTATACTGATAGAGCACCCTTCACCCAAAAGAAACACTACATTTCTACCTTTTCTTCTTTCTATGGTCGACAAAGGAAATCTGTCTTCCCTGTGCGCCTTTTTGCTAGTGAGAATCTTTGCACCTCAAACACTGGATCTGTGCTGAGTGCGAGTCTGGATGTCAGTGAAGAAGAAGCTGAATACACACAAGGAACACATGCAGTGAATGAGGAGGAGCCTGGGTACTCTCTCTTCTACATGCTACATTTCCTCCCTCCTTCCCTCCCTCCCTCCCTCTCTCTCTCTCTCTCTCTCTCTCTCTCTCTGTCTTCCTCCCCTTTAACACTTCATCTTTGTAAGTGGCATTTGATGAGAGTGAGATGAGATAGGAAATAAATCCTTCACAGCCAAGGAATGTGATAGGATTAGGATGTTAAAATAGGATAGGGAAAAGACACTGACCTTTTCCTTTAAGTCGCCGTTGCAATGCTGATGTCAAGGTGCGGACAATTTGGAGGAAATTATAGAAACCACATTTCGAGCCTTCTGTGCACAAAAGGCATTTAAAACATTTTAATCACGCACATTTTCCGTCATTACTTTGGCAGGACCCACTGGATTGTCCTGTCTCAACAAGAAGACGACATTTGACAACAAAAGGTCTTAACCTGTAAAATATAACATTATTAAAGTTAATTATATAGTTATGTAGGTGTGGGTTCACTTTCAGAGCATCAAAAATGTGTAATATGTTGTTAGACATACAGTATTTATTGTCTTGGAAGTATAATGTATAGGAGGTGCCAAAGGCGCAGCCACATAGGTTAAATATTGACCGGGTTTATCGATGAGAGAGACGTGCAGCTGTTTTTCTTTTTTCTTTTGCCAACACATAGCTACACAGCAGAGTTGAAGCCAAAAAAGTAGTTTCCCACCAGGTGAGTCTGCTGTACAGTTACAACGGTGATTCAACCATGTACGGCTCGCTAAGAATTGGAGAGAAACACCTTGAGATCCTAAAAAATAGTTACATCGTAAGCAACTGGACAAAGTAGGTTTTACCGCTCATCCAAAAGGCACACATTACGGTTCTGTTTAGCCTTCATGGAGCTACATACCTGTAACGAGGATCGTTGCAGAAAGGGGGGATGGAGGTGTGGTCAAACACACCCTATTCAAAGGAGGGCGGACTCTAAAGTCATGTTGGAAGTGTAAATGGGGAGTGGTACCATAACTGTGGACTGATAGTTTTTACCTCAAACTACTGACACTTTTGGCTGGGTGTCCTTTGAAATGAAACTGTGATCTTGTTTTTAACGTTTCTTTTGATTGAATTGAATGACCTAGATGACTGAGAACCTACACAGACTTTAAGAACTCCTCAGCAGTTTCATAAATGATTAAACAAAGTGGATCTACCAATCAATGAGCCTTAGTCAATGATTGTAGATCACATTGCCCTGCTCTTTTGTATGTTTAGCCACAGCCACACATACACCTTAAATATCATGTGGTGTCAACAACATCCTTCATCAGTAATTGGGAATCTATAGCATGCAATATGACCCACATTTTACCTACAGCCCACTCCCCACAGATGAAAAGCATCAAACTAGATTCATTGCGACTTGGTCAGGACATACGGTAACTCTGCTCGACTTCATAGCTACGAGACTGATGAGTTATGACATCTGGTGGACATATGGAGTAATAAAGCCTGCCACTTGCTGACACTCGACAACTGATAATAAGCAGATACAAACGGATCACTAGCTTGGTATCTACAGTGTAACAGGCCAGGTTGTGACGTTGAACTGTCCAGCTGTCAGTCAAATCTGATGTCCAGTCATATCTTCTATGTCGTTTTATTTACATGTTCTGTGTTCTCTTTTTGGCATGTGATCATAATGTGCAAAACTAACCTCACACTCTGTTAAAGATGATCTGAAACTTACTATTAAATATACGGGAAATGACCATATGTCAGGAAATGTTTAACTATTATTTATTATATTTAATTATTATTAAATAACCTATATATTTATTGTTTTTTTTAAGAATTATTTTAGCTGGATTCATGGGTTAACCTTGCAACCCCAACAACCTTTCTGTGCAGTTTCTAAAAATCAGGGGCGTCAGACTCATTTTCTCCGGTGGCCACATTAGCAATACAGTTCCTCTTAAAGGGCTGGATGTAAATGGAAGACTGTATAAATGTAACTACTCCATAACATACTGATAAATGTTTCTGCAATTGATTGAAATGACAAAGATTGTTCATTGTTGTGTAAAAAATAAAATATTTTAATTTATCGGGTTAAGAAACTCTACTGCATGGATTTTTATAAAATGCTTTTTAAAGCTCCATACAAAATGGCAGGCCGAATTTGGCCCGCGGGCCTTGAGTTTGATACGTGCTATAAATTGTCAACGGCTCACCTCAGGTCCCCACATTCATGCACGTACTTGTGGACAAAACATCAAAACAACGAAATAACATAGATAACTTACAACTGAGCCACCATTATAATTATAATGAATCGCTTTAATTTAGTTTAGTCGCGATATTAATTTTTTTTACCAGCTTGAGTAAGTCATTGTTTTGTCTCTAGACGTTGGGAACAGGTAGAACGTGAAAGCGCAGCACAGATGTTTGACCCAAGCGCGACACCGTAGCTCAGCGTGTGGCCAGTGGTCAGGCTTCACAGGTTGCACTCGGATTATTTTACTGATTGAGGAGAAAAGTCACCTTTTGTTTCAGTGTTATGATGTAGAAAAGTTTTTGCCCTATTCAACATATTCTTTGGAAGGTTTTTATTTTGTGTTCAACAGACGCCGGCAGGTTGTTGTTGATTAGCCTGCTTGCTGCTTTGCTTGCTAGCACTTGACAGCGAGTACGTAGCACGCGGAAAATCCGCTGCACAGACGTCGGGTGTCAGTGGTTCACAGGGGTCACAGTGGTGTTAGAGACCTCCCGGGATCGACACGATGAATGTTCCTAAAACTGGTTACCGCGTCTTCTCGGCAAATTCCTCCGTAGCATGTACGGAACTGGCCAGGAAGATAACAGAGTAAGCATGAAGTTCCTCCACTGACCCTAAATCAGGAACACATTTAAAGCTGTAAATAATGTTGAGTGTTTTAGGTCGAGTTCTAAGATTTAGAAATGTTCAGGATCACATTTTATGCCTCACTGGTTGTTTATAGGTGTCAAACCTGTTGGGTTTTTATTCGTGAGACCCTGCAGTTTTAACATGACGTAAGAAATGTAACAGCTGCCGCAGTGTCTTATGATTATAAATTAGCACACACGTTTATATTTAGGCTTTTTTTCTCTGTTTGTCAGGAGACTGGGTGTTGAACTGGGGAAGTCCGTGGTCTTTCAGGAACCAAACAGAGGTAAGATACTGTAGATGTTGTGATTTTTCAGTTTTAAATATGTGATTTTTTTTTCTGGTTTCTTTGCGCCTTTGTGACAGTTAACTGAATACTTTTAGTTTATGGTCAAAACCAGAGCGTTTAGGTAATGAGATGAGATATTAGGAAATATGAAATGAAAATATGATTCATATTTTAAAGATCTTTGACATGTTACAGACCAGATTACAAAGAAAAAAAAACAGGTTAAACATTTGATGGTTATTTTTAAGTATTTATTGTTTATGTATAATTATTCAAATACGTTTTTGCTTTAGAGTTACTGCAGTGTTCGAGAACAGTTCAAGGCAGGCAAGTTATGATTGTTATTCAGACCTAACTGGTTATAGGTATGAGTCTAACTAGTAGTTTGTCTCTAGTGTAGAGAGTAGTTAAAATTGAAGCCAAAAAAAAAAGCCACTTGACGTCTTTTTCATCCTTTTTTTTCAGAGACACGAGTTGATGTTAAAGAATCTGTTCGTGGACAAACGATCTTCATCATCCAGACAATACCAAGGTATGGTTTGACATTTACTGTAATGTCCCACCTAAAACTGAGACATGATTCACATCGTCTCCTGCAGGACCTGCTGAAATGAACACCCTTTTCCATTCTCTGTCTCAATATGCTTCTTCCAGAGATGTCAACACAGCCATTATGGAGCTGCTTGTCATGGCCTATGCCCTGAAGACGTCCTGTGCAAAGAACATCATTGGTGTTATCCCTTACTTCCCCTACAGCAAGCAGTGCAAGATGAGAAAGAGAGGCTCCATTGTTTGCAAGCTTTTAGCATCAATGTTGGCCAAAGCAGGTAAACACATGACAAACTGCAAGCTGTTAAATGCACAATTAAAACTAGGATCGGACCAATAGCGGGTATCACTATACTCCGTATACTCAGTACTGGTACTTTTACTTGACCTGGAAACATTTCAGTCCAGCAAATTTGACACATTGTAGTAGTTTTTCACCTCTATCAGCTGCACCGCTACCAGTTAGACAGTGTATCGTTTTCCCACTGCAGTGAAATCACAACAATTCCAACAGTTTGGAGGGATCTTAACATCAGGAACAAAGACAGGGGCAGGGGTTTCTTTAAAATGTCTTGGTTTCAAACTGTTTTTCCTCAAAGGTTTAACGCACATCATAACAATGGACTTGCATCAGAAAGAGATCCAAGGATTCTTCGGCTTCCCAGTGGACAACCTCCGCGCCTCACCATTTTTGATTCAGTACATCCAAGAGGAGGTGACCAGAATTTTCTGTTTCATTTTCTTTCTATTATTTCAGATTTTACAGCTTCTTTGAAACACATTACTTCATTACGAAACAAATAAAAATAACGTTGGGCTTTTCTCCTACTCCCGTCAGATTCCTGATTACCGGAATGCCATAATTGTGGCCAAATCTCCAGCAGCGGCTAAGAGGTACACACACACAGATTTAAACTTTTTTATCGTGAAAACAAATATTCTGACTTTTTATTTCCCGGTTAAGGGCTCAGTCGTATGCAGAGCGCCTTCGCCTGGGTCTCGCTGTGATCCACGGGGAGGCTCAGTGTTCCGAGTCTGACATGGCCGATGGACGTCACTCGCCGCCATGTGTTCGCAACACCACTGGTCACACCGGACTGGAGCTGCCTTGTAAGAACTCACATCTGTCCACAGGCCTTACAGTGTTTCAGGCGTTCTTTCCAGGTTGTGTTGGTTCAGCGCTCCACAGTTGTAACTTAAATTATTCTTATTTGTTGTTTCTCATGCTGATAGATTCCTCCATGTTCATTACATTCAGGAGTAAACATCATTTTAATTTCAGTGCTTCTAAAGGTTGATGTGTCAATACTTCAGCGCATCCATACCATAACCCCTGCCTTGTTTTTAGTCCTGCGTGGAGCTCTGTCATACCATCAACCATTCGCCAGGCGATTGTTTTTAGTGTCGCTGCATGTTCTAAACCCCTCTGATACACCGGTGTTACTCATGCTGCATCTTCAGCAAACTGTAACTCATAACTGACTGTACATAATAATATTCCCTGCCTGTGTCTTCTTTAGCACACACTAAAAGTTATAGTTTTTTTTTGTTTGTATGAATTACTAACTTAACTTTCGCATAAAGTTTTTGACACATTTGCAGTCTAACTCTGGTAAGGCCTCGTTCAGTCTACGGTTGAAAATGTCAAACTGCTGTGTCATTGGCAAATGACTCTTCTAGTGTTTGCATTATTATTTAGTTAAACAAAAAAAATATATATATTTTTCTTGTGTTTTATTGTTTTCCTGGACTTAAAAAATCCTCTTTCACAATAAAAGTCACCAGCTGCTTTTAATGTAACTAAACATTTTTAATTTAAATGTTTACTACGGTGATTTTTTTTAATGTTTCTTTTCAATTTCTAGAGAGGATTTTTTAAGTCCTGGCCTCATGTGTTTGTCATGTGCAATACTTGTGCATTTGTGTTAACGTGGTGTTTATTTGTTGGTAATAGCAGGCAAACAACAAGCCCCGTTCCCCGGCATAGAGCTCCCAAGTACGGCCATGAACTTAACTTACATCTGACTATGAACTGATTTCTCCTCTTATGAATCCTCAGTTTGTGCATGCGTACATTGATGGGCTTTTTTGGTCACATCTTGTAAAACCAGTCTGGATTCTTGAGGGGCAGTTTGTGTTAACTGCACGAACACGTTTGCTCCAGTCAGTCAGTCCATGTGTGTGATGCTCATTTTACTGCACACACAAATAGCACTCACGCTCACTGTCAGTTTACAAGGATTCCTGGCAGATGGTTCTACAAGATGGGGGGAAAAAAGCCCCCATTTGGATTTGTTGTGTTCTGATTTTATTTTGAAAAATCCACAAATCAAACCAAAGTCATCTCAGAACTTTATTTTGTTTTATTTCTTATAGTTCTGGACTCATCTTGCCAATCAACACATGATGCATCCACATTAAACCTGCTACTGAAATCTGATTAACCATTGCTCAGAGCTGCATGCAGTGTTAGCAACAAAGCATGTCTTTAAAAGCTAACATCCCAGTATGGGAAGTGAAAAGATTTTCATGCATAGTTTTTTCACAGTAAAGTTAAAAAAAGTTATTTATCTGAGGGAGCAAAGTGGAAATAGTGGAAAGAAATTCTATTTCTGGACAAGTTGATTGACTTTATCAGGTAAAGGAGTTGAAATTTATTTTCTTTTTTTTAACAGAATTTCATCTAATCATTTAAATGTAATGTAGTTGAAATTTGCAACATAAAGTTGAAACCCTTGAATTTTGCACTGTTAAAAAAACAACTGAACAACAACAATTTTCCTGCATTTAAACGTAGCAACTTTCTGTAAATTACATTGGTTGTTTGACACTTGTTTTTATTCAGCTAGCGTCTTGAGAGCAGTCTCTGCTGGTTGTTTACATTTACGTTGAAGATTCTCTAAAAGGACTGCCAGTAACTGGACTTCCCTGTTCAAGGACATCCGTCCTCAGTTCATGTGTTTTAATAACATCGAAACAATACTTTTCCTCTGTTAGCTTGTTGCAAAGTCCCAACAAGCTGCGAAGGCAATGCATGAATCCTCAGGAGTGCGTGGGCTGTTAATGATGTGGCTTTTGCTGTTCTGGAGGTCTGAGTGTGACACTGCCAGGTTTCTGACGATGCTGAATCCACGGTATTTAGCACAGCGTTCAAGGCATGCTCCTCCTCCTTCTGCTTTCGACACTGTGTCCTTCACAATCGGCTCTGCTGGCTCATTGCTTACCAGAAGTTTGTTTCCTTGTCCCTTGTAAATGACCACTATACATGCACACTTGCAGATCCCAACAAAATCGTGGTGTTTTGTATCACCCTGTTAGCCGTATTGAGGCTCTTGCAGTAAAGTGGTCTTTGCTGTCTTAACCTTTAACCTTCAGTGATTTAAAGGTTAATTTACCGCAGCCTTATTCAGAAATGGTCATCACAACAGATTAAGTTGTTTTGATGATGAGAAAAATGGCATTTCTTCTTGTCATTTTTTCTCCCGGCTTCTGTGATTGGCATGTGTGCTGCAAAAAATGAATGTTGTGCATGTAAAAGTAGCCAGGAGCAGCAGCGATGGACCAGAGGACCAGAACATTGACAAATGTGTATGAAGAAGTTCTTATTAGTGCCCGTCAGCCATTGTTGTCCTATGTGGAATATTAGTGGCTTATATTCTGCAGATTTCTGTTTTGTGCCTGCAGTAGTTCAGGACGGAGGCTGAGTGTGTTTTCAGGAAGTTTAGTCGTTATTCTCTGATTGGGTATCCTGGGCAGAAAAGCCTGTATTTTTGATTGATTGATTGAGTTTGTTTTTTTCTGCATGGCATGTCCTGTGCTGAGTACAGCATCTCACTGTAATGTTATTGGGGTAGGTGGGGTAGAATGGGGGCAATCTTGCTGTATTTGATTTCCATTTTGAATCAGTATACTCTTGAATTCAAATCATTGAATTTCTAGAAATTCCTCACGTCCCTCCGTGACAGCCCACTGATTTGGGATTTAGATTAGACTGAATCACAAAACATTTTCTCAACCCATTTTACCCAATCTACTGAAATTCCTTTTAATTCAGTGAAGTTTAATTCGCACCAGTGTTTTTACATGCCCTTACCAGTAACCATCTGTGCTTTCCCTTTCAGTAATGATGGCCAAGGAGAAACCTCCCATTACTGTAGTCGGAGACGTGGGAGGGAGAATTGCCATCATCGTGGTAAGATGCTGCAAATGCATCAATCAACAGTAGCGATGGCTCGGTCCGATACTTGATATTCAATCCGATACCAAAGCCCAGATGCTCGGCTTAACTTTGTGTGACTTGCCGTAAACAGAGAAACTACCGTCCCAGCAACGGCAGCCTGCGACATCCTGGAGGAGAAAAGAACGTATCGGATTGATATCGGTATCGGACATGAAAAAGTTGTATCGAGCCATCCCTAATAACACGTGTCACACATGTAACAGATGATACAAATGACACCTGAACCATGTGTTACAATTGCTCTGAACTGATGAGTTAATTTTTTTTTTTTTTATTTATTATTACATCACTGTAGACATTATGGCCTCGTTGGGTGACCTTGTGTTTTATGAGAAAAAAAAAAAGTATTCCCTAAAGTGAGATTCATTCTTTTATTACAGGATGACATCATAGATGACGTCGGAGACTTTGTCGCCGCGGCTGAAATCCTTAAAGAGAGAGGAGCCTATAAGATCTACATCATGGCCACACATGGTTTACTGTCGGCTGACGCTCCGCGTCTCATAGAGGAGTCGACCATTGATGAGGTAAAAGTGCAAATAAAACTGTGGCTATGATTATATTTTTATAGTAAGTCTAACTTACCGGGACAGTGGGGGTTTGGTGGTTAAGGAAGCGGACTTGGGTCCGGAAGGTTTCAGGATCGAGTCCATTAATTGCCACTAAGGTGCTCTGGGCATGATGACAAGGATACTTTCTGTATATAAAAATCTGGATTTCAGATTTTCTTTAGGCAATCCTCAAAAACATTTCAAGACAAAATTAAAAAATGTGTCTCTTTAACATTTGGTTAAAGCCAGGCAGCAGCAGCTATAAGTTCATGCACCAACCAATTAAAGGATGCTGAAGTCATTAGGAGTCAAACTGCACCGACTTTCAAAGTGTGACCGCTTGAGTGGAACGTTTAATTAAAGCAGTCTGTTAAAAAAAACACTATTGGCTAATTGCTTTTTTAAAAATTCAAATTCAACTAAAATGTTTTGTTAATGCCTTAACAATAATCTTGGTGTGGTCTCGTCCTTCAGGTGGTCGTGACCAACACTGTCCCTCATGAAGTACAGAAGCTGCAGTGTCCTAAAATCAAGACGGTGGACGTCAGCATGATCCTGGCAGAGGCCATTCGCCGCATCCACAACGGAGAGTCCATGGCCTACCTGTTCCGCAACATCACCGTGGACGACTAAAGGGTCTCCAGCAGGTGGCGATGAGGTGGGTTGGGAGAGGAGCGATTTCCTTCGCCGTCTTAGTATAACATGGTCCGACCATGTTTCATGTGTGCTGTATGTTGTGAACAGGATCGGATGTGTCCTCCTGGCAGAAGAAGAAATGTAGAAGTCTTAATTTATCGTACCAAAGGTTGTGAATATTTCATTTTCTTGTTGGATTGCTAAATGCATCGTGCCCTTATAATGTCGACGCATGGAGTGCAGGCCTTCAATATAGCTGCTAAATCAACAACACTGAATTAATACCAGAATGAAAAACTTTATTTGGGGAGGAAATTGGGGATTAGAGTGAGAGTTAGGATTTAGTTTTAGACTTCAGGGTTAGGTGTGAGTTCAGCCTTAGGGATGTTTTAGGGTTAAAGGTTAGGTCAAGCTTAGATAGGGTTGGAGTCAGATTAGGATAGGGTTTAGGGCTAGATCAGGGTTTGATTAGTGATAAATGTTAGCCTCAAGAGTCAGGGGTCAAGACCAAGATTGGGGAATACAGATATATTCAAACAGATCTGAAACTTTTATGCATTTAATTTTTTTTTTAAAAGACTGAAGATGCTTTTTATTTAAATGTTTCACCATCACACACTGTGGTAACTTATAATTATTAATTCAGCTTTATCTGCAGAGATCGTAACTAGTGTGTGCAGTCATGGGATTTTGTTGGTACTAAATGAGCTGCTGGCTCTTAGAATCAGAGCTGCCTGGCACTGTGACTGCATTCTCACCACAGACAGGAAAAACAAAGACACTGGAAACAACGATGAATGATGATTCGTAGGTTTTATTAGCAGACATTTGAAGCGTTTGTGTATGTGAAGTCCAGGTTGGTTGGTCTTGTGGAGTTGTGGAGCCATACTATTGATTTTATTATTATTTTGATATTTTTTTAAATATTTAATTGGATCACAGCAAGAAATAAAAGTAATCCCTGTAAATATAACTTGATCCACTTGATTGAAAAATAACGAAATGTTATGTTTCACATTTTACCCCTGATTTTGGCTGAAGTGAATATCCACAGTGTTGCGGTTCTGTGGATGTTGACCATGTGTGTGTACGACGACACTGTGTCTAACCTAGGTGACTGTAACTGTTGGAAAAAACGAGGGAGTTGAAGTTTGCTCGATGTGCTCATATGTTCATCACAACAGGCCTCTTCTGTCACTATGACTGCAATATTTGAAGCACTTCAATATTCCAGACTATTTTATTTCTCATTCGTTCACATTGAGTTTTCCATGTAGGTGATTGGTAATAATTCATTTTTAATTTTATTTCTTTCCACATATTCTATTCCACAACTTGTTTGTTTTAGTGCCTGAAATGTTAAATCTGTTTAAATTTTAAAGATTTTAAAGGATTTTCTTCTGATGCAATAATTAAATGTGCTTTGATGAGTTCCTCACTGTTATAATTCAAATCTGCTTTGCCTAAAACAAATGCATCATGTTTGTGTTTTATGTAACGGTTGGTCACTCTGCCTCCATATGACATCTTCTGTAAACTTTCTGAAACATGCAGATGAAGAAAAGTAGAAGAACATTTTACTTCACTCAACTTTTGCACTAAATAGGAACTGAGAAACAGAGGTTCTGTATGTGAAATGGCAAACACCTAAAAGCATCCAACCTATATATATATAATATGTATATGGCACTGACATAAAGGATGGATGTGCTAATGGGTTGAGATGTGAGCTCACATTCATTGCATCATTGTGTCCTTCCTAATGTCTCCTCTGTGTGTCATGTTCCTCTGATGTGTGTAATTAAAACATGTTTTTGTCAATATCAGTAAGAATAAAACACTGGGCATTATGTGCAACTGATTTGACCACCCATATTGTTGTGGGTTTATCGAGGTACTTGTGTACCTACGTGTTTTGGGTTTTTTTGCCACAGTCTGCAAAAACTGCAGATCGCTCGCTGTGAATTGATGGTTGGTTGGAGTGTGAGTGTATGTGTGCGTATGGACGGTTTGATATTCAACCTCTTCTCCTTTTCTCCTACCCCTGGTCTGTAGTGTCAGTCAGAGACCCTGTACTTGTTCAAATCAGGTGTTGAAGCAACTCTGAGGAGCTTTGACCAAGTCTAGAAGTTATTCTGGTCTGTTAGTCGTTCTTGTATTGGTACGAGTTGTTTTTTCTTCGCTAAAGCTATTACTTATTTTAAAAAATATTCATTTTATTTGAAACATCTTGGCCAGTGTCATACATAATGTGGCACACATAATGGCCACCAGAGGCCAGTATAGCATAGTGTTGTTGAATCAAGCGCATTTAACAAATGCAACAAGTTCATATTCTGATATATAATATATATATATATATATATAATATTATATGTTAGTATATATAATATATAACTTAATTGTATCTTTGTATCTGTTAGAGATGTCTCTTTATTGTCACAGTTTTAGTTACAATTTTTATATAGCACAGTGGCAGCTTTTAAAGAGAATACTTAGAATCAGTAATTTCAGTATTTTTTAATTGTTGTTACAAAAAATGTTAGCAGACAAAAGTAACCTTTGCACAACATTCACGTTAGTCATATAAAAAATGTTTTTATTTGTAGATTTTGTGAATTTGTAGAAAAGGAAAAAAGACATTTTAATTTAAACATTGAGTAAAGTAAACAATTCATTGACAACAAACTGCAGTAAATGGTACGGTAATATGTCAGAATGACAGTTTACATGTGCAGATTACAGTATAAACAACTCCACCTTTTTATTCCTCACTTTTGTTCATTCATAAAAGACATAGAAAAACCACATTGAAACAAATAAAATTGCCTCAATAGTTGATGTGCTTTTTAAAGACAGTAGCAGCACAAAATACCCCCAAGATGAAATGAATACAAAGGTGAGAGTGAAAAATCAAAATGCAAATTTGCAACATGACTCTTTTTACACTGCAGTTAAATATGTCTGCACACTTTCAGATTACTTTCTTGTCGCCGGGGTAATTTCTCTGGTTATCAATACAATTGCTCCTGCGGTGGCGTGGTGAGAGGGGACATCATGTGTCTACTCTGTACACCTTAAACACTCGACTGGACGTTTGACCTGTCAGTTTCCCCACAACAGAGACTTCTCCCTCTTTGCTTGGGCCTTCATGTCCGAGCTCTTGAAGTCACATGACTACGATATGCTACAGCTGTTGGTCTTGTTCATCGGAGGTCGTTTGGGGCTCTCTTTTGGAATGGTTTCTCTCCTGCGGCACAGGGTTGGGCTGAGCCAGCTGGGCAGGTTGGCCTGCAGCAGCAGCTCCTTGAACGCCTCCAGCACGTTGACGTTCTCTTTGGCTGACGACTCCACAAAGCTGTGGTTCCAGTCCAGCTCCACCGTGGACAGCACATCCTTGGTGAACACTTGTTGCTCATTGTGGCGGTCAATTTTGTTTCCGATGACAACGATGGGCGTGTACTTGTCTTCTTTGACCTCCAGTATCTCTTCTCGAAGAGTCTTCACAGCTTCCAGAGACTGGAGGTCGTCCACGGCATAGACGAGGGCGAAGGCGTCGCTGTTCTGGATGGAGAGCTTACGCATGGCAGGGAAGGAGTAGCTGCCACTGGTGTCCATGATGTTGATGGTGACTTTGATGCCTCCCACCTCGTACTCCTTCCTGTGGAGCTCCTCCACTGTGCGCCGATGCTTGGGTTCAAAGGTATCTTTGAGGAAACGTTGGATGAGAGCTGTCTTTCCAACTCCGGCAGCTCCCAAAAACACCAGCCGCACCTCTGCCTTTTCCTTAACCACAAAGGACATGGTGGATTAGGAAAGCGATATGATGATAATCTCTGCAGATTATCTTTGTCCCTTCACCTATAGTTCTCTGCAGGTGGTTTGGATTGCAGCGGTGGAGTTGTGTGTCAGAGGATGATGCTTTAAAATGCATACTGACTGCTCTCTGTATTTATGTCCAGAGGCTGTACCTTCCCATCTGCTTTCAGCCAATCAGAAACAGGCATTGTCTCCCTCTCTCCATGAACTCAGAGCAGTCAGATAGAGAGAGAGAGAGAGAGAGAGATGAAAATGAGTGAGAAGAAGGAAAAAAAGGAACTGTGTGTAGCAGCAGTGGCAGATCCTTAAATAATGTTTTAGAATGGCTGATGATAATATATATATGTATATATTATTACCTCTCTCTATATATATTATATATTGGTATTTAAAGTTGAAGACCTCATTTCCAGAAATCTAGGGACACCCTTAAAACAGATTGATTGATTTGACTCAAAACTGCAAGTAAATTAAATGATGCACCGAGGCAGTAATCTGAATAAATGGAGCTGGTTGACTGGTTCAGGTCCGGCATCATAGGCTCTGCCTTTGCAAACAAGGACCTGTCATGACTCACTGAGAGCAAGAGAACATGTTCCCTTGACAAATAGACATAAAAAAACATGTTCTTCTGTCAGATTTCTTCAGAAGTCTTTCCATTTAAGTTAATACAACAAGTGTTAATGTTGTATTTAAATGGAGTTTTTATTCATTTGCCTGAAATATTAAATGTTAAATGTAATAAACAAAAAAGCTTGTATTTTTTGTACGATTTTAGGAAGAATGCAGTCGTATCTGTATTCTTTAACCAAAACCTCTCTGATTACTTTAGTTCAGCAGCCAATCCAACGTTCTCTGCACAATTTTACTGTTTAATGTAGCCGCTGAAAATATGCAAATACTGTTTAAAAGTCAAATGTCAGCAGGCTGCAAATGAAATTCAGACAAAGAAAACTGCGTGTTGCTGCGATGATCCACTCGCAGGCTTCCTCAGTTCAGGCTTCCTCCACTTGTTGCTATGTTACCACCAAGTCATTAACTTAAACCTGAAAATGATCTGTAAATGAGAGTGCTCTCGTAATAACCTTACTTCTGGAACATTGTTTGGAAATTGAATGGATTTGTATGAGCTCTTTTCTGACCTTTGTCTGACCACAGACTGTACACTTTGTTATAGAGGAAAAATTGGATTCTCAGAATCAAAACGTTATATCTCAGTGTGCCAGACTGAGAGCTGTCTCATTTTCTAACCTCGCAGTAAAGACGTTGGGACGTTGCCTCGGGACTTTTTGACCTCTGCCATGCAGACCTGCACTTTTTTTTCACCCTCTGTGGAGACAGGCTCCCAGGTCCCTGAATGATTCCACCCTGAGATTCTGTTTCCTGGCTTCATTAAATCCAGGTGACGGACAGATCAAGATGTGTCAGTGCTTCTCTCATTCTTAATGTTATAGTTTCCTTACAAATAAATGTCAGGTCTTATACTGTTAAAACTCTTTTAAAAAGAAATGTAAATGCTTAATGCTATTTATGCTTTTGAACCACTGTGGATCAAATAGAAACTGTGTCTTTTCCTACTAGGTTGGTGGACTTTATTTATTTATCGATTGAATTGATTAGGCTAAAATGACATTATGACACAGCAGTTGGAGATAAATCTAGAGATTTATGAGATGAGCTTTGGCCAAGATAAATTATTAAATAATTATTATGTTACACTTTGTGTCATTTAAGGCAATTAGAATGATGAAAAGGAGGGCCCCCTTATTACATAATTATTATGTTACACTTTGTATCATTTAAGGAAATTAGAATGATGAAAAGGAGGGCCCCCAAGTGGTGAGCCCTGAGGCACACCTGTGCTAACAGAACTTGACTTGACCACAGTTTTTGTCTGCATTCAATACAAGTACTATTGTGAGGTGTTTACAATCGATTACTGATTAATTATCTGCATGCTGTTTTTTTGTATTTATGTAATCCTTGAAAAATCAACACTAAAAAAAGAAAGAAAGAAGTCCTGGATTATTTAAACAAGCCTGGTGTTTATCCCTAAATGTATTTGCACAATTAACGGTGTTGACAACTTTTCGAGCTGCTCTGTTTGTTCCACTGTGAAGTAGAACTGACCTATTGTTTTCTTTGGCTCGGAGGTGTTAGTCTGCGGTGATTGGCTGTGGTCGTGGGAAGAACAGCCTGTACTCAGAGCACCCAGTCCTTTATTTGATCTCAGAGAAGGGACAGTCACTCAGAGCCCAGCTCTCCACGGCTTATGACTTTTGTGTAGAACTCCTATTGTACTATTTCTGAACACAGGGATTGAGTTCTCAGTACACAAACTGTTTGTCTCAGGGTTCAGTATTTTAAGAAGGCATGATGATCCAGTTCCTCGAGGTGTCACCTGATGACATTTACACGACTGTGTTTGATAAGCCAGTGAAGGAGTTGGTGCACATTAATATTGGCATGCAATATCGAGGCAGAAAAATCACGTGTGTACTTGTGATGCGTTCCAAACTTATAGTAGTCACCTTTCTTGGAGGTTGTGTTTACTCAGGTGTGTTTTTAACCTGAGTGGCAACCCAGGCTGCCTGTCACTCATGTCTAATTTCATTATTTGTCAGAGGAGGGAGATGTGCAAATTTAACCACACACTGTTAACTCTGAACCACAACTGTGTACTTAGGTAAATAAACGAACGATCAAGAGTCTATACTTGGATCCTTTAAAGTTTACACAGCAGTAGAGGAAAACAAAGAGTTTGGCATCGTTACAGAGGGCGTGGACGTCCCAAAACAAAAACCTATTTGGTTTTAATATTGGAATGGCACTGATAAAAGAATAGACCCTGGACATGAAGGTGATGAATCTGATGAAGGATGTATGGGTTACAACACTGCAGAGACGACTCGTCTACTTTTCTTTCCAGACCTACTCTTGGTGTGAATTCTGGGAATCTTGAGGGGGAGGGTGGGGTAACATGTTTAAGTTCTGACATTGCTGGGGGGAGGGCGGGGTAACATGTTTAAGTTCTGACATTGATAAACTCTTAGTGTCTGATGCTGCACGTTCACCACTCAGTCACTCTGTTCCCCCTGGACACGCCTTGAGATGTGAATAATGTCATGGGCCATAGGGAGAAAGTAGACGTTGCCGTTGGGTTGGAGCCACCTGCTGCAAAGGTCACCGAGTCATGGACTTGACCTCGACACACATATATATGACGATGGATCAGGCTCAGGTGTCTGCGGAGGCTCTGTCTTCACAGCTGAATAGAAAAACCTCAAATTGGCCGCCTTTGAGCAATAGGTACAGAACCTGAAGAGTGGTTGTGCTCACCTTGCCTATTTTTACTGAGATCAAAATATACATAAGAAGTGATGCTGGAAATATTTTTTAAAAATATAAAAATGAATATATAAATGAACCCAAGTAGCTCAAAGTGAAGAAACAAATACCTTAAACTGTGAATTGAACTGTGAGTTAAAGCAACACAGAATTATTAAAACAAAAACGAGAAGAAAAAGTACTTGAAATACAGCACAGATATATATTTTAATTTTTAATTTTAATTTTCCTTTTTTCAACAGGAGGAGTGTTTTGTGTAGGAACTACATACAATTTTGCATAGATTTAAAGCAGTATCTGTGAATGTGTTGACATGGGGGACAAGGGGGGCTTGATAATGTAATATATACAAAAAGGCTGGGGGGGTAGAAAATGTTTGGGGACCAGAGTTTGTTCCTTGTGGGCAAAAAAAAAAATAATACAACAACATCTAAGGCAAATGAGAAAAAACAAATCCCACACAGTCCACACATGTGGATGAGGATCTTCCTGTACGGTTGAACGACCCACTAATGTCTACTAACCTACATACGTATATACTGTACGTACAGCAGCCACAGGTCAAAACACTGACACTGACCTTCGGCTCTGGAACATCCTGCCCTGGATAATTAGAAGTGTGGAGGTGGGTAAAGGTGCAGGTGGTGTGTAAAGACCGATCTCATTACACTCCGGCTGGACTAGAATGTTCTCTGTGTTTGAAGAAGCATTAGCTGTTACGACTGTGGCCGCGGCTGTTAAAGCTGTCCCCGTGCAGCGCCCCGTCCGCTTTTTGGACGAAAGGCAGATCATTAAACAGCAAGTGCAAATGTTCTGTGGCTTAATTATTGTTTTATTTTTATACAGAAGAGTCCTGAATCTGCCACTTTAGAGAGGCACCGTGAGGAGAGAGAGAGAGACGGTCGTGTTTGAAGACGCTCAGTCAGTCGAAACATCTCAGACTTTTAAGGCATTTGTTGTGCAATCTGTATCAGTCAGTCAAAACATCTCTTTTAAGGCATTTGTTGTGCAATCTGTGCTACTGAAGGGGTGAAGGAGGCCTCTGGGGGTCAGAGCAGTGGTCATTAACACTGTATTGATGCAGCACTCCATACTGTAGTAATAGATTCCCATGATAATTCTACTCACTGCTCATAAACATTTTAATTTGCATGGCTCTAATCTTGACTTCAAATAAACATGGTCATGAACAATTATTAATAATTAGGACTTGGAAATGGCCAGTGTGCTTATGATTTGCATGTTAGAATTTAGGTAAATAGACTATGTATAATTAGTATAATTAGAATATGCTGGAAGAGCATCTCCTGTTGGTTGTGTACGGTGTTATTGCTGTGGCTATATCGTGGCTAACTTTAATTATGCGACTAACTACATCCTCGTCAACGTGTAGCTAATACTTTTTACTTTCTTTTTTTCCACTGTAATGAAAGTCGCTATCATTTTAGCTTTACTCCTACGGAAATCTCACGAAATAATTAGTCCCACAGTGAAACAAACTGAAATCAAGTTTGTCGGAGCGCGGCGTTCTTGGTGTTCGTACAAGCCTTTCGTGGGTTACGTCAGGGAACAACCCGCGGCAACAGCTCTTTTAATTTGAGCAGTGGTTTGTTGGTTTGTACTGAATATCACTGAGGTGCTTCATGAATTTAATGTCAGGGGAAGTCTCTGTGCAGCCTGATGACAACGTCTGCAAGTGGAACAGTGTAATTATTACACGGCTGACATAGATTCTCAAAGCAGATATATAACTGATCACATGACTTTGTTTTCAGTGACGATTTTTTAATTGCTCCTTTCATTACTTGGCTCAAAGCATGTGGACGATATTGTGGCTCCTTCGTAAGAGTTTTTTAATATATGAAATGTTCTACTTTATGTAAAGATGGTTTTGTAAGTTGATGGTGAGAGCCAACTGTTTATGATTATATTAATATTTTGTTTTTGTACTTTGAAAACTTATCGGCTTTAGAATA